CTCTCAGATCCAAGTTTCTGAGTTGTGCTTTTTTCAGTAACATAAGAAGCCTTTGGGTTCTCAAAAAAGTTGGAAGCTTCAGTGAATGTCTCCTAGCCACTGCTTTCCCTGAATTTTCTCTTGATGTTTTTACCTTCTGGATTGGAGAACTGCATGTGAGAATCTTTGTCAGAATTTGCCTTTTTCCCAAGGAGTGTGTTTGTGGGATGTTACTATATTGGAACAGTTAATTGGTATTAGTTACTGTATCTGTTATTCAGTTAAATTTTCCAGTAGTTAAGTTACACTAAATACTTTTTTTCTCTTTGTACTTTAATTATAGTATTTAAATAAATTTGTGTTTTGCTTAATGTCAAGTATTCTGACCAGTTGCTTTGCATCTGGAACACAGCACTTCACATCTACCTTTAAAATAAGAAAACGTTAGGTCCTAGGCTACCTTCTTACAATATTTTGAGGGGAGTCTGGTCCATAACACATTATTAACCATGCTCTCATAGATGTAACTAGTGCTCATTGTATACCCCAACCATAATGCATTGTCAGAGCAAGGGATGATTTTGCAGGGCACATCTGCGTCTTGCACAGAGATATAGTTTGAGTTGTCAATGTACCTAAGTGTCAGCTGAGAGCACCATGTGCCCTCTCAAAACCTTCCTTCTTCTCTCCCTCTCTCTGTGCCTCACTGAGCTCCCCTGTTATGCAGGTTAGGTAGAGGGAGCCCCATGCTTTGTACTGGAGCCCGTTGGCCCTGACGTTTTGGTGAGATGACCCCAGGGGTGTTTATATCCAGAGGGGTTAGAAATGCCTCTTGCCTGAGGTGAGGTGATCCTTACCAGCCTGAAATTTGAAGGAACGGGGCATGGTTAGACAGGGTTTAGTTGGAAGACTGGGCCCGGCCACCTCTGCAATATATTGCCAAGGGAGCTGCGTGTGGCTCTTCCTGTGGCTGAGTGTCTCCTGGCACTGCCCTGTCTCCATGTGAGGATGGGATACCTGGAATGGAGCCAATGCTGTCTGGCCACCTCTCACCCTGGATTTGGCCCTGAAGACCAATGCCTGAGATGATGTAGTACGGTTGTGCATATTACTCCAGCATCCATTGAGGGTGCTGGGCCTGTGGCTCCATTGCAACCAGCAAGCTGTTGATAGAGACAGTATCCAGAGAGTCACAGGACTGGTTGCATTGCTCTAGAGGCGAGGTTGGTAAGATGCGGTGCGATAACTCACTTGATCTCTTGGCGAGTTTCATTCCACCAAACTTGGCGCGACTCACACTTAGCCAAAAAAGAAAGTAAGATTCCATCTTGTGAAATAGTTACACATTGTACAAAATCAGGCAGTCCTTGATAGATTGTACACTTTTATTTTCAAAACCCTTGTCTGGTTCAACAGAAATGGTGATTGTTTGACCTATGTCCCTTAAAATGCTTCAACAGTGCACTTCACATCATTCTCCTACTGGAAAATCCTTTAGAAGGAAAAAGTGGATGATATACCCAGTAAACTCTGACTAAAGGAAATACTTTGTAAACAAGCCTGTTGAGATCTATTATGATGCATGTTTGCAGCAGGCGGGACTTGAACCCAGGCCTTCAGGCCCAGACACTACCACTGTGTCACAAAAGCCCCTGACCAAAGGGAAGCACCAAGGCAAAACATATTGAAAGATCCCTCGCCATACCATAATTAATGAACAGGAGATAACAAGGACTCCAGATGCTGGAGTCAGAGTAAATACAGTGTGGAGTTGGAGGAACGCAGCAGGTCGGGCAGCATCAGAGGACTGAATGAAGGGTGTAAATCCGAAACATCGACTTTCCTGCTCCTCTGATGCTGCCTGACCTGCTGTGTTCCTCCAGCTCCACACTGTATTGACTATAATTAATAATTAATAAATGTTTGGCTGAAACTAGAGAGGAGTTTGACAGTTGTTTTGTTCTTGGCCTTGTTCAGAATTTTGAGATGACCTACATAGATGCAGATGTACAGTTGAACCCAATGGAAAGAACTGTTCCTTCATCTTGGTACCTGAGTTAATGTTAGGGTGGTGTGGAAAGGCTACTTTCAAATGTCTGACTCATTTGATTTGATCTACTGACTGCAAGAGTGTCAGCAGCCTATTAAACAGGAAATCTTTTTTGTCTCTGACTGCTATAGCTGTGTTTTTTTTAATGCTACTGTGTTAGATGACACAGCAGTCAATCTAACCAGGCAATCTTGAAGAACTCCAAGAATCAGTTCAAGCATTAGGAGTTATCTTGTGAAGATGCAAAATTTTTGTGTTGCACTGTGGTACTGGTAGATGCATAAAAGATGGTGTATCTCTGCTGCAGTCTTGGCATTTGGTAGCACACGCTGATTGTGATCTGAAGTTCTGTGACATCATTGATCCTCCAAATAAGGTTGGCACTGTTGAGCACTACAGGACGAATGAACATGGAAGCTGGCAGGACAAAGGGAATGCATTATTTATTGCTGCGGTCCTAACAAAAAGAATGGTAGCCTACTTAACTTGTCAAGAAACTCAGTTTTGGCTTTGGGCCCATAGAGCCGTATTGAGTTCGTGATGCTTAGTGTTTGTAACATATCATGACACTTGTATTGCTGCAATTTAGTTGGGTTGCTTCTTTACTCAGGGCTGAAGTTATCGAAGCCGTTAGCAAAATGAGGCTGGTAGAATCGAGAGGCAAGGGGATTTCTACGTGCGAAATGCAGATTTGAGTTCCTTGACAAATGGAGCAGCCAGCTTTAGTGCTGTTTTCAGGAATGGTCTAAATTAAATCAATAAATTCTTGTGCCTGCAAGACGAAAACCTTGCAGAAACTGTGTTGCCTAAGGATAACTAACAGGCCCAACGTCTTGCATTTATTGACCACTTCTAGTATAGAAAAAGGTACTGGGGCTCCAAAGAGCTGCAAAGAGTGTCTCAAGTAGAACAATGGCTTCATTGGAGGTGACAAGCTTCCCTGGCAGTGCCCAATCTAATGAGGCATTTGAGCCATCAAACACTGCTTGCAGTTCCCTATTACATGATGGGGAGGCCAATGACTTTCAATTAAAATGTAAATATTTAGGAGTCTGTTGCACATTTTGAGTGGGACTTTGTGACCTCAGCTCTGGTGATTTTGGTAATGAGAGCTTTTCAGTTGATGACCCCACCACCTTCCTACTTTCACCCTAATTAAAGTCCATGCCATGAAGACTTGTAGATGTCTCTTCTTCCCCACTGCCAAATAATGCCCACTTAAGGGTCTTATCCTGCAATTAATCTACCAGAAAGAGGGCAGTTGTCCAGGTGGAGAACACAATAAATGTACCTGTGCAAGACAGGTTTTGGGCAGGGGGCGGATAGCTGGTAGGTGATCGAAGGACCTGGTCTTGGGAAGTGCGTGACCACTGAGCACCAGGACCACGTTCTGTCTGCCGAGCCTCTTCCCATGCACCCAACCCCACTCCCATCACTCGCTCCAAGCCACGAGTCCTGTGATGATGCTAGACTTTGTGTGGGTGTCGTACCTGCAGCACCCTCCTGGTGGTGCTGCCCCTCGATAGAGCTCTGTTGGCCTTCGAATGGTTGCCAGCTCTCCCAGGGAAGGCCCACTGCTGGCCCAGCAAATACCTGAGTGGAACTACATGTGGCAGAGCCTCCCAAAATAAGGTGACACTTGGCTCTCAGCTGCTCTCTAGCACATGGCTGAGTTGCCCTCACAAGATCATGCAGAAATGGTGTACATGTCCAGTAGAACCTGATAGAGCAAGGTAGCCTCGTGTTTATTGTTAAGTTCCGAGAAGGACCACGACAACAAAGCATGACACAGCAGGAGCTCAATTGTGGAGGTGCTCACTTCACAGGTAGTGAGGTTAGAGAGAGCTGTTCAACTGCCCAAAACAGTGGCTAATGTCATCATTATGTCACATGATCAGACTTTTAAAGCGACAGCCCACCATACTTACAGAAATACATAAAAAAAAGGACTCGATAAACAATTCAGCGATTGGGAGTTTAGATTACATGTTTTGGAAATGTAAGTTTCAACGCCTAGTGGTTTATGGTGAAATTATGATGAAAGCAACTGAATTGTTAGAAAAACGCTAAAGATTCACTGATGTCTCTTACGGGAGGGAAACTCCCACCCTTGTCTCCTGGTCGCTTTAATCCTACACTACGTAGCAAGGTGAGAACTCATACCCAGAGAATAAATACATTGTTGTAACAAACACAGAGAATGCTGGAGAAACTCAGCAGGTCTAGCAGCGCCATCGAGAGATAGCAAAACAGAGTGAACGTTTCAAGTCTGATATCACTCTTCAGAAATATATAATGGCCAATGGAGAGAGTGCAGGTGACATTTAATAGAATTGTCCCAGGATCTGGGTCTGCAGATATGTGGATAAACTGGACAGGTTGGGATTCTACTTCTTAGAACAGAAAGAGATATACAAGATTATGAAAGGTTTCGATAGATGAAATAAAGGGAAACTGTTTCCAGTATCAGAAGGGTCAGTAACCAGAGGACAAAATTTTAAAGTGTTGGGAATCGCTCCAGAGGCAAAAATTGTAATAATGTTTTACTGGGTGAGTTATAATGATCTGGAATTCATTGCTTGGAAAAGTAGATTCATTGACAGTTTTCAGAAAGGAATTGAGTAAAAGCTTGAAGGGTAAGTTAATTTTCAGGATTTGTTGGGATAGAACAGGGCTAATAGATTAGTTAGATATCCCTTGCATAGAACCACTGATGGGCCAAATGCCTTCTGAGCTGTATTATTCTATAATTATAGAGTGTTAAATACATTAGATATGGAGGTAAACACAGCTCACTGCACCCAGTATTATATTTAATAGGCATCAGTGGATTGTACACAGCTCTGATTGAATTAAAAAATTTAATAATAGCATAAATTTTCTTCATATGTTAATTGTTTTTTTTGATTTGTTTCATACTGAAGTCATTGAAGTCTCTGACCTTTTACTTGTGGTTATTTCTTTCTCACAGGGGAACATTTGGGAACAAATTCTACGAATATCCTTCATCCTGGAGATGATCAACACCGTGCCCTTTATCATCACAGTGAGTCTGTCTGTGCTATCAAATATTCAGTGGGGGTTTGGTTGGCAGCGATTATAAAGTTAATATTTTCCAACGTGAGCAGCATATTCAAAGGACATCTTTTCATCAGGGCTGCATTCCAAAAAACAGAGACTTACTATTTTAACCAAATCACTTTTTTCTTTGTGTTTATAAAAAGCACAGGCAGGATAAACCCCTGCTGTTCACACCGACAATTTATTTGAAGGTCACATCTGACTGGCTATTCAATTTTCTGTTGAATTTTTGCTCGAACTGCAAAGTACTCCAGCTGTAATTCAGAAATTAAGAATGTTCATTTCAGGTGAAGGATAGACTTCAAATATTCAGTTTGCGTACTTCTGACATATTGTAAATTAAGGTGATGGATCATTTTATTTACCATAATGAATTAATGTACTCTTGTGTTCACTAATCAGAGTTCAAATTCATTTCCAGTTGCATGCTGCCATCAATGAATCTAATTAAAACAAGGTAGCATCAAACTGCTTAAACTTGATAACAAAATAATCTTGCCACTTTCTGCTCCCTGTCATTTTTGTTTGTAGCTCAGTTAAGAAAGTACACGATAGTTAAATTCCAAAAAAGGGACAATGGGCTGAAATTTCCCTCTGCCAGTGGAAAACAGAAGTTGGATTAGTTGTGCCCAGTCCTGAATTTATCCTGCACTCATGAAGAAACAGGCATTCACTGGAATTTCCACAAGAGTACTCCTTTAAGTTGCGTGGAGACCAGTTTTCTTTTGTCTAATTAAGGGTAGTGGATCGGTTTTTCAAGTTGGAGTGTCAAGGAAAGAAATTTATATAGGGCTCTGAGTGACATGGGCTATGGTGAAATATGTCCAGCAGCTTACACAGCCAGCAGATATTATGTACAGAAATTGAACCCGCACTGTTGGCATCACTCTGTGTTGCAAGCGAGCCATCCAGCCAACTGAGCTAACTGACCCCTATTAAGCTAATTTTATAAAAAGTAAGATTCAGCCCATTGATTCTTTTGGAAATCCAAATATATTGCATTTCCTGGTTTCTCATTATCTATTCTGCTTGTTACCACCTCAAATAACTCTAATAAATGTTTTAGGTAAGATTTCCCCTTCATAAACGCATTCGGACTCTGCTCATTCATGTTATGCATTTCTAAATCCTCTGTTCTAACATCCTTACAATAAACTCAAACATTTTTCCAATTGCAGATGTTGAACTAATTGTCCTATAGTTGTTTGTTTTGATGTCTTCTTCCTTTTTTGAATAAGGGTGTTACATTGGCAGTTTTTAAATCCTCTGTGACTTCTCCAGAAACTAAGGATTCTTGGACGGATGCTAGCTATGCATCCACTATTTCTATAACTACTTCCTTTAATATCATAGGAGGCACCCCATCAGGTCCATTGGACTTATCAGTCTTTGACCTCATTGATTTCCCTAATACTTTTTCCCTGAAATCCATTTTTTTCCAACACCATATTTGCTGATCCTTCAGCTACAGACATTTTTATGCACTTATGGGGTGTGGGCATCACTGGCTGGGCCAGCATTTATTGCCTGTCCCTAGTTGTCCTTGAGAAGGTGGTGATGAGCTGCCTTCTTGAACCGCTACAGTCCATGTGCTGTAGGTTGACCCACAATGCCCGTGGGGAGGGAAATGAAGGAATAGCGATGTATTTCCAAGTCAGCATGGTGAGTGGCTTGGAGGGGAACTTGCAAGTGGTGGTGTTTCCATGTACGTGCTGTGTTTGTCCTTTTGAATGGAAGTGGTCATATGTTTGAAAGGTGCTGTCTGAAGATCTTTGGTGAATTTTTGCAGTGCATTTTGTAGATAATGGACACTGCTGATACTGAGCGTTGATGGTGGAGGGAGTGAATTGTTGTGGATGTGATGCCAATCAAGCCGGCTGCTTTGTCTTGGGTGGTGTCAAGCTTCGAGTATTGTTGGAGCTGCACCCATCCAGGCAAGTGGGGAGTATTCCATCACAATTCTGACTTGTGATTTGTAGATGATGGACCAGCTTTTGGGAGTCAGGAGATGAGTTAATTGCTGCAGTATTCCTAGCCTCTGACCTGCTGTTGTAGCCACTGTGTTAATGTGGTGAGCCCAGTTGAAATTCTGGTCAATGGTCACCCCCAGGATGTTGATAGTGAGGGATTCAGTGATGGTAACATCATTGAAAGTTAAGGACCATTGGTCAGATTGTTCCTTATTGGTGATGGTCACAGCCTGGCATTTGTGTGGTGTGAATGATACTTGCCACTTGTCAGCCCAAGCCTGGATATTGTCCAGATTTTGTTGCATGTGAACATGAACTGTTTCAGTACCTGATGAGCATGGATGGTGCTGAACATTATGCAATCATCAGTGAACATCCCCAGTTCAGACCTTCTGATGGAGCAGTGCTGTTGGGTGAGTTCTGAAAAGCAGTTTGCGGTGCATTACGCACAATGTCAAACACGACCAACGTGTGCCATTAGGGAAGACAGCTTTCTCAGTTACAAGGGCTTATGAGAGCTTTTCAGAATACACCCTTGGCCTTGCTCACAGCAATAGGCCATAACCAACGGTCTTATTAAGCATTAACAAGGATGCCACCACGGTTACTGAAGTTCTGACTCCATCCTATGATAGGGCAGGATAAACTGCTGATGACACCGAATACACTCTTAGTGACTTATCTAACAACAAATAGTGACTAAGGCAAGACAGACCAAAGGCCCAGTAAGTTGGTCTCTATCATACCAAAGAATCTCACTCCACATTTATGCCCACAATATGTATTTAGGAAGGAACAATTCTTTCTGGCACCACAGGGCACACACTATAATCGGCGCCACTGTGCCAGTTTGTTGACACAATTGGGCCAAGGGTTAGAGATGTGGATGCAGGACCTTAACAGGAAATGTGTGATAATTCAAGGAGCAGCAAACCAGCAGCTATCCAATACGGTTTGTAAGTTGAGGCAGTTGCATGTAGAAACCACAGTCAGTTGGATACAATGCGCCCGTAAATGAAGGACAGTCCCTTGTAGACTACTGTCAAACCTAGCAGGGTTTGCTGACTGACCCCCAGGCTCCCTTCACTTGATAAATAGCAGTGTTTGCTACTTAAGGGCCTTAGTTAACCTCTGGGTGGGAAGGCCACCTGAAAGACTTCTCAGGCCAGACTAGATCAGGGGCAAGTAGGTGGGGTGATGGGCTCAAAACCTCACACCCTCCTGTCCAATCACATACAGCACTGCTTCTGAACTCACCTTTGGGAGTTATTAAACTCTCAACTCAAGTGTCTTCCCATCCTTAGGTCATTCTACGATATTTTATAGTCAGTGTGACATTGTCCATTTTACTCTGTAGATATTAGATTTTCCATTCTGTTCTCAAGTTCTCTGAAATTGTATGTTCAACCAAACTGCTTTGATTCCAGATATTTTGGTCTCCATTAAGGAATCTATTCATCCCAGTATTTCTGAACTGCTGGTTAGCCAAGCATGCCCTGGAGAATATGATTGTGAGTATGAGAACCTTGGAAACCTTCCCAGTCTCTCCTGTACTTCTTTGAATAGTATCATGGGATCCTTCCATCCTATTGTACATGTATACAGGACCTCTGTTTAGCATTTCACTGAATAACCAGAATTTAGAAACTGATAATTCAATCGCTGTAATTAGTTGAAAAGTTATATCATTTCATAATTTGTGTAGAATCAGGTCATTTTAACACTTCATTGGAATTTACAAGTTAATTGTTTAAGTGCAAACATCATCATTGTTTTTATTTGCATCCATCTCTTAGATCATCAAGCCTTTGCATTTCAATAAACACATATAACTTTTGTCTGAAACAATAGAATGTGGCATTAAAAATAAACAGGACATTGCCCTTAATTTTAATTTTTTTTCTATTCATTTAGAATGATCTTCATAGGGCTATCCAGAGAACCCAATCTGCTATGTTTAATCAGGTTCTTATACTCATATCCACTTTACTGTGCCTCATTTTTACCTGGTAAGTGTTATGTCAAACTGTTCTGTGAAAATGCATATTTCTGTATGATTCCAATCTGCCATTAAAGTTTTCTTTCGGAAATGCAAATAAAATCCAAAACATCCCACTTACCCATTGAATTCATTGAACTGTTCTTCAGTAATGTGAGAGTAAGACATTACCATTTTCCTGGTCCAAATTGTAAATGCTGTTCTTGTTTAAGTCACTGACTGTTAACTCTGACCTTATTAAATAAACAGAAGTAACTTGTTATCTAATTACTAATTAACTTGAGCTGATTTGACTTCCATGTGCATTGGGGTTATTGCTAGTTTCTTGATGAGACATTGTCATAAATGTTTCCTGAACTAAAAGTTATATTCTACACATTTGAATTAAGAAACCAGACCTTCACAATATATGCAATGAAGGGCCATACTTTAAGAGAATATGTCCAACAGAAACCTCTAAATGCTTAGGTTTAGTAATGCTGGAGTGATTAATCATGCCTTTTGTTTAAATGTGCTTAAACTACTTAGAAAAAAGTGCTTTTCTTTTTACTAGGAAGCGCACATTTACGATAAACACACACAACTCGCACATGTCTGAATATGACTATATTTCTGTATTTTACTTCACTACTTGAATGTCATAGGTCCTCACCTGCTAAGATATCTGTTGTGCCTACTGAGAATTTCATGTTTATAATCTTTGTTATTCCACAAATTTTGAGTTACTGTGAGCTGCTCTTGTGCATTTCCCAGTGGTTGATTTTGGAGCAGTATTGATAGAGGTGGCCAAGGTTGTTAGGCATTTCTGATGCATAAAGTCTAATGCATTATCGGCTTTCTGTGTTTTTTTGAACAAGGAGCGCTCAAATCATCATAAAGAAAATTATGGCTTTTGTTTTTAAATCTGTAGAAATTGAGGTTCTTTTGCAAATTGCACAATTTCTGTGACACAAGTCTGTCATTTAAAAACATTAGTCTCAATTCTGCAATGCTGATTTAACATTGTTGGATTTTGAGTCCGCAGAATTTGACATTTCAGTCTATTTTCTACGATTTCAATGCATGATTCCTGTGTGACACTTGATTTTCTATTAATGCTTGCACCATACCTGGACGGTAGTGTGGCTGTCTACCTCTCTTAAAATATTTTCCTCAAGTAAAAATTGATTCTTGAGACTTAATTTGCTGATCTCCGATACTAACTGAAAAAAGATGCAATCATTTTTTACTAAGTTAATGATTTAATTATTAATAAACTATAAATAGTTTATTAAATTTAGTAAGTGGATATTTTGAGAATTGCTACCATGATATAACTGAATGAATAAATCACTTGGAAAGGAGAAATTGTGGGTGGAGGGGACGGGTGGGGAGGGACAAAGTAAACAAGACTATTTATGTAATAAAAGAGGATGAGAAAAGCAAAGAAATTATAGTCCATGCATTTAACTCCCAGAACTATGGAAGCTGCAAAAATGTAATGTCTGTTCTGAGTACTTGTGCACTTCTAAAAACATTTGCTGATTAGGTAAAGGACCCAGGTCAACAGAAAAGACTCATCAGATTTCTAAACTTAACAAAATCTACTATTTATGATAAATAAGCAAATTCAAAGCACAGACAACAATGAAATATCAACATTTAACTATACTGTTTAAAAATCTAACCCCTTTTAAAAACATTTACACACACACAGATAAAAACAAAATCAGTGTTATGGGTAGTGGAAAATAACTGGGGAAACACAGTTCAATAGCACCAGTCCACAGGCTTCAATAAAGTGTTCCATTTTCTTCTCTAGACTTTCTGTTCTCTAAACTCCTCCTTTCCTTCCAGGTTCTTTCTGTTCTTTGCTGAAGTCACGGGGGCTTTAGACATTAATTGTTCACTTTCACACTCACTGGCTAGAGGTAGCAGCTTACAGCAAATTTGGGGAAAAAAGATAACTGATTGTCTTCAGGCTTGAATTACTTGGCTGCAGAGATACAGAGAGAGCCTACTTCTTCCAGTGTGGAAACCTTTCTCCCCTATATTGTTCACAGCCGCAAGTGGTTCAGCTGCCCAGGAGCTGGAGAGTTGACGTCAAGCTGATGCACAACCAGTCGCAGTTGCACAACAAATTAGCTATAATTTTTTTTTCCTTATATGTTGGCACCCTGTTTTTCCTGACTACTCCTCTCAGGAGCTCGTTTTATTCTTGACTGTTCCTGTTTAATGGCCTGAATGACTGGTGGACTGATGTAATTGTATCCCTGTAAATTCTTTTTCCTGATACCTGGAAAACAAAGAGATTAAATGAACAGTGTGTTGCCTTTTGAAAACTACCCAAGGAGTCTATAGGTGGCACAGGATCAAATTATCAAATGGATTTGTGATTAAAAGAGGAAAGTGGTGCATGGACAAAAGGTTGTGACCCACATTGGAAAATGGGATCTTAGCTTCAAGTTGTTGTGAAATAACCTCAGCTGAATTCCTAGGTTAAAGATCTGATCTATCAGATGATCATAAGAAATAGGGACAGGAGTTGGCCAATCAGCCTGCTTTGCCATTCAATTGAGTTCATGCCCTCAACTAAGTACTGATATGGATTGTAAGGTTTTCCTGAATGCCAATTTCCCAATCCGCATAGAAACTCTCCTACAGCTGACCTGATAAACAGAAGTTGTCCTTCGATATGCGGAAGGTGTAAATGGTTGACACAACTTCTGCCTCTGCTGGATAAGAAATGTAATATGACTGTTACTGGGCATTGTGCGATTTCTACTAGCTAAACTGCTGGAATAGCCAAATATATTTGATAGGATGATATCAGAATTTCTTATACCTTACTCCTTAACACTGCAGGCTGAGAGTGTAGCCAAGCACAACTCTAAACTAATGATTGCAGTTATTTTATTAGATCTTTCCAAAGTGTTTTACACCACAAATTCCATTTTCTGAGCCTCATGGATATAATGAGTAATATCAAAGTTAGGAAAGTAAATAATGGTTTACCATCATGGAAACACAGCCAAAGTGCAATGAATTCAGAAAGGGACTTCAATTTTCTGCCTTTTAAGAGGATAAGTAGTAAAGAGTTATTGGCAAGTACTTTACATGGAAAAAAGTAACAAACATATTTCATAACTTTAACTTCAAGCTGTTAAACTACCTGCTGTTGGTTTTTTTGTGTGTGTGTGTGCGTGTGTGTGTGTGTGTGTGTGATTGCAAATTAAGTTTTCCATCTGTAAGGAGTCATTTGTACTGAAATTATCAACTGTGAATAACTGATCTATTGAGATATATTTTACATATTGTGAGCATAAGCCTGAATATTAAATAACATTCAAAGTAGAAAGAATGACTTTGAAGTAGAAATGTATTCACAAGTCATACATTTTCATGATTCCTTATTGTGGGAGCATGCAGCACCACAAACAAAACATTACAATTTACTGCCCATCAGAAGATAAAAATGTAAGAAATAGGAACATAGGTAGGCCATTTGATCCCTTTACCTGCTGTTCTATTCAATATGATGTCTGATTTTCTTCCTCAAATTTACCTTCGCTCTTGAATTGTTTATATCCAAAAATCTTCTATTATCTTTCTTAAACATACTTAACAATTGAATTTCTATAGCTTTCTACATTAGTCAAATGCCAATGGTTCACGACCTTTTGAGAGTCAAGACATTTTTTCTTATGCTAGTCCTAAATTCTGAAGTTGTGACATCAAATTCCACATTCCTTAGCAGAGAAAAGTTCTTCCTGCATTTAGTCGATCAACTCCATTCAGAATTTTAAATGTTGCAGTGAAATGATTTCTCATTCTTCTGAATTCCAGGGAATGCAGACTTAAGTCTTCTCACTATTTCCACATTTAAATTCCACCATGTCTTGTGTCCAGAGTATTAGTCCAGATCACTTGATTGCCATGGCAATTACATCTTAACTAAGCCAACATTCTCTTGCCAGTTGAAATGTCTCATTGTAGTTGCCTACAGCCTTCATGAGACCATACCTTGATGCAGTTTTGATTTCCTTACCTCAGAAAGGATCTAATTCTTTTAAAGGGAGTGTAACCCAAGTTGACTACATTGAATATTAGGATGAGGAGGCCGGATTAGGATAATGCATAGGACAATCCTCTCATACTAATATTCAGTCTATTAGCTGAGGTTATGCCTGACAAATCTGTTAGAATTCTTTGAGGATGTAAAGAGCAGGTTAGACAAAGGAGAGCCAGTAGACATGCTCTATTTGGATTTCCAGAAGGCCTTTGACAAGGTGCCGCACAGGAGGCTGCTAAATAAGACAAGAGCCCATTGTGTTCAGGGCAAGGTACTGGCAGGGATAGAGACTTCGCTGACTAGCAGAAGACAGAGAGTGGGGATAAAGGGGTCTTTTTCAGGATGGTAACCGGTGACTAGGAGAATTTTGCAGGGAACTATTCACATTATACATTAGCGATCTGGACAAAGGAACTGAGGGCATTGTTGCTAAGTTTGCAGATAACACAAAGATAGGTAGATGGGCAGGTAGTGTTGAGGAAGTGGGAAGGCTGCAAAAGGACTTGGACAAACCAGGGCAGTAGACGATGAAGTGGCAGGTGGAATACGTTGTTGGAAAGTGTGAGATTATGCAGTTTGGTAGGAAGAATAAAGGCATCAATTACTTTTCAAACAGGGAAAAGCTTCAGAAATCTGAAGCACACAAAGGACCTTGGGAGTCCTAGTTCAGGATTCTCTTAAGGTTAGCATGTAGATTCAATTGGCAGTTAGGAAGGCAAATGCAAGGTTAACGTTCATTTCAAGCCAGTTGGAATACAAGAGCAGAAATATACTGCTGAAGCTGGATAAGGTTCTGGTCAGACCGTATTTGGAAGATTGTGAGGAGTTTTGTGCCTTGTCTCAAAGGAAGGATGTGCTGGCATTGGAGGTGTCCAGAGGATGCTTACAAGAAAGATCCTACGGATGAAGGGCTTGTTATATGAAGAACTGTTGAGGACTCTCTGTCTGTACTCAATGGA